CTCCCCCTTTTTGTCACAAATGCTGAATGGTAAGATATCAAAATTACGTAGAGCCATAATATATAATAATTTAAAAATACAGTTGATAGCATGCACAAGTAAAATCAATAAGTTATGGACCTCCTAACATACTCAGCTCAGATCATAATGAAGTAAATAGTACAGGCAACTCATATGTGTAAAGTGTCACAAATCCAATGCAAAAAGATCTCCAAACCTTAATTTTGTGAGAAAAGACATGCCAATCACTGCCAATAAGTATATTCTCCTACTAATGAAAATCAAACTATGAAAATCCAGTAGGACCTTTACTTATTATTTTTTATTTTTCCCCTTGACTATGAGCCTTTAAAATTTTCAATTTTCACATTTTTCTAGCTCATAATATTTTTCACATTTGTCAAGCTCATTTATTTATTTTATCTTAAGTGTAGGTTCTTCTCCATTAGAAGACTGAGATGACTCCTGTAGCGAGTTTTAGGCGGTTAACCCAATTTAGTTGACCATAGGAACAGGTTTTAAGAGACCCCGCAGGCTTAATTGCTCGAATCAAATAGGTCACGAAGAAGAACATTAAGATTATGAGCTTTTACATGGGGAAATATTTTTTTGGCTTAGATCTACTAAATTTGGTCAATTCATGTTCTAAGTTACCCTATTAATATGTGATAGGTATCCCAAATATCACATATGCAGTAGAGTCCCATTAACAAATTCACAGTGTGTGTAGTGTAGAAAGTACATGAAGACAACTATATTTAGTACTCCAAAATGAACTAAGAAAACAATGGGAATTTTGCTACAACTTATCAATTTTAGCTCATACATGATCGCAACATGTAAATTCAAGCATCATATGTCAAGTTGTAAGGATTTTCCATAACTAACTATTTTTGGTATTTTTCTATTTTTTGTGTTTTTCATTTTTTCAAAAATGAATGACTTGCACACAAAAGAAAATAAGGTCAAGTGCACAAAACAAACTAAATAGAGCACATGCATGAAAAAAAAAAATACACTAACAAAACAAACAAATACATGTGATGCATGCAAAAATCATATGGCAGCTAAGAACATGCATGCATAAAAAAATCTAATCATCTAGGTATATGAGTGCTATTTCCTTTAAGAACACCGTGATCTATTATAAGATTTGACAAATTGTTCTTCTTTATCCAAACTTGTCTAGAGGGAGAATAGTTTCCAGATAGTTGTATCACTAATTTTGTCAAACGATTCACTTGATCAATAAGGAATCCAATCTGATAAACAAACACCTACAATTTTTTTAATTCTTTTTCAAGTTTATGTTTTTCGTTTTGTTCAGATATTGATGACATCTAAGGAGGATATGACCTAACTCACCACAATGAAAGCATGTCGGGATAGACCTAAGACCCGTGTTATGTGAATTCGGATGTCTATTCTTAAGTTGACGGGTCCTATGCTGTTTGATAGATGTCTATCTTACAGATTTCTTATCATTAGTTTCAGGGTTAAGCACATATTTAGGCTGGTCAATAGCAAGGACGAATGTGGTATTAGTCGTGCTAGCGACATCGTGAGCTTTTCTTTTATATCTTTGACCTTACCTATTTCCAGCTGGCTTGCCTATTCCTAGAACGTTGTCAACTTAGACGACTCACTGGTGAAGGCAAGTAGTTGAGACTTAGAATGCTCTAAATTGCTCCATTTCTAAAGTTTTATCCATGGTGGTCAATTCATTGACTTTCCTAGAGGACCTCTCAAGCTCATAGGTGAGATTTTTAACCCGAGACTCTAAAGCTGCATTCATTGACTTAAGTTTACTTAGTAAAATGGAAGATTCCTTAACATAAGCTTCTAACTTCGATTTTTCCAATTGAAGCTCCTGAATAGTCACACTTAAGGCCTTGTTTTTATTGAGGATCTTAAGACTCTCATAATACATTTTCTCATAGGCCTCTTTATTATCTTCCTCGCCCATAGACTCATCCCTAGAATATTTATCACTATCTATGTCCTCATCCTCCTCACTCCTCTGGTCGGATCCACTAGTAACCCTAGCAACGAAGGCAACATATTTTTCACTTTCCTCAGGAGTGGATTTTTCACTCTAATTGTCCAAGCTAATCTCGTCATCAATGAGAGTAGTATTCATAGTCTTCTTTTCGACTCTCCTAGCACTAGGGTACTCTTTTTTAAAATGACCTACACCTTGACACTTATGTCATGTCACGAATTTAGATTTTCTCCTAGATTCGCTCAGGCCACCTCGCAATTTCTCTTGCAACTTCTTCTTATTCCTAAGCATCTTACAAATTTTTTTAGCTAGGTATGTTATCTCCTCATCATTGGGTGAATCTGAGTTAGAAGATTCGGTCCGATTATTCCTAGCAAATTTCAAGGCCAAGGACTTTTCCTTAGCTGGGTTGTCTAAGGTCAACTCATAGGTCTGAAAGGATCCAACTGACTCTTCTACCTTGATAGTGCCATGTCCTTACTTTCCTCAATGGCCGTGACTTTAGGCCTAAAATGCTCGGGTAAGGATCTAAGGATTTTTCTCACTATCTTAGACTCAAAGATTTTCTCACATAGGTTGAAAGAGGAATTCACTAATAGGTTGAAAGAAGAATTCACTATGTCATTAAGGCTCGCATAGAATACACCAAACGTCTCATCATCCCTCATCCTAATCTCTTCAAACCTAGCTGTCAGCATCTAAATTTGGAGTTCTTAATCGCCTGTGTTCCCTCATATGTGGTTTCTAAGATATCCCAAACTCTTTCACAACCTCACACATGGACACTCTTCTAAACTCCTTAGGAAAAATAGCCATAAAGAGGGCAAGAAAGGCTTTGCTATTCCAGTTGCACCTATCTAATTCAACCTTATACCAATTTTCTTTGGGCTGAGAATAATGACATTGTCAACCGTTGAACTAGGGACAAGAAAATCGTTAACCATAATCAACCAAATCCTTTCGTCCATAGATTTCAAGAACGTCCTCATCCCAACTTTCCAATAGACATATTTACTACCATCAAAATAGGATGGCACACTCAACATGGTACTCATCTAGACAATGTAAGGTCAAGACATGTGTTTAGGCTCTGATACCACTTGATAGACGCCTAGAACACTCTACCACCACTTGAAAGATCGGCTAGCTTATTACAATATCAATTTAAACTTTAGTGTTACCAAGTTTACATTCTAGTCAATTTATAAGTTCGGCCTTACGTGTGAAATTATACTAATCAAAGCAATAAGTCACTTTTAATTATTTTATAGATGTTAAACAAATAAGTCTAGTTAATCTTACGCTTGAATACCGCAGTTTGTAAATTATGAAAAGAAGTAAAAACATGAAATTTGATGACGAAGAAATCCAACATGGAAAAAACTCCGATTGCAAGCTAGTTACCTATACTATAGACATTTCAGGGAATATAAAGCAATTCAAGCCTAGCAACTTCACTCATTGTAGCTCTGTAATTCCTGTACCCACTAAGACTCGCTGTCTCTATTCCAGTCTCATGATCTGTTGTCATAGATGCCTCTAGCCTGCTAGACATCCTGATCTATCTCCTATAGCTTTCTACTATCGTAGATACCTCTAGCCTCTTTCTAGACCTCCTGATCTACCTCTTGTAGCCTTCTATTATTGTAGATACCTCTAGTCTTCTGCTAGACCTCCTGATCTACCTCCTGCAGCCCAACTTACTACAGTAGATACCTTTAGCCTCCTGCTAGACCTCCTAATCTGCCTCCTACAGCCCAATCTGCTATTTAGTTCCAGCCTTCTGGTCTTACACTGAATGTCTCTCCCAAGTGGAACACTAAGAACCACCTGTTCTTGTGCTTTTCACTACGCTTAAGTCCACCTCTCTCAATCCCCCAATAAGAGAATCTATTCCTCAGAAGATTAAGGAAGCTCAGTGTTTTAAATTAACGAACTTTGATGTTTTCCCAAAAGTTGGTTGCTGGATCATAAAATCATTCTAACAAATTCAATGCATGAAACTCTCCTTGGATCTCTTAATGATATGAAAATATGTAGAAGTGAAGGCACAATGTAGCAACCACACCATTTCACGTCCTAAACTCTTGTATTTATACTTGGGGACAAATAGGTGTCATGGGCTGTTTAAAACTCTTTAAATCGTGATCTAAGGTTTGGTCGGATGCATGCGTCGCTTAAGCGACAACTCAGCGAAAAGTGAGCAATGCACTTTCGCTCGAGCGAAATGGGGTTGAAAAGCGAGCGATGAGTATTCTGCTTTTTACGCTCAAGCGATGGTAGGGTGAAAAGCTAGCAAGATTCCTATGCCATATTCTTGTTTCCAACATTATGATCGAACCCTAATCCATCCTATCCATCTATATATAATTGCAACCTATGTCCCTAACTTTTAAAACGTGTTCAATTTAGTACTTTTTTTTCACAGAATCCGCCAATTACAATATTATACCTAAAATGAAGAAAAATCAAGTCAACTGTCAAATGTAGTCTGTGTTGAAGTCTAAACTATTCAATTCTTTTTACACCTTAAAGAGATGGATTTTAGGGGATTTTGTCACTTGGGCACCTGGAAAGTTCATTAAGGCACCCGTTTGGGAGTGATTTTTCATCCTAAAAAATTGATGTTTTGACAGTTATTTTACTATTTCAGCCATAATTTTTGACTTTTTCTTTCACATGTGGCCCCCAATTTTCTCCTAACAGTCAAAAAATCAATTCTCAAAATCACTATTGAACAGGCCCTAAATATCTTCTTTGGAATCCGTCAAGTGCTTTCCGGTTGGAAAGAAGAAAGTGATGCAGGAAAATGACGTTTTAAAAGTATTAAGAAAGATTAGCTATATTCTTGGTTTAAATTGTCCATTCAATAGAAAGATTGTTAACTATCTAGTTGGTCTCTCCCATGGAAAATTCATATCCTTTTCCTGTATTTTTATTTAGTTAGAGAATAGCATTAGTAGCTGGAAAATTTTAATTTTTTTATTTTCATTAATAAGGACATCCCAACTGCAATGCAAGAAACTTCTTTTTGTTTGTCCCAATATCTTTTTGTTTGTCCCAATAGCAGTTATTATACAGGAAAATGCTGACCTCAAATGGTTTATTTATTAGATGGTGGAAGAAAAATGTTCAAGAAAGGCCGCTAATGTCTAAGGAAGACTCATGCTGAAGACTACAGGTTAATGAAAAAAGTCGTATTTGTCGTTTGTTCTTCGATTTCTCAATCAGTTATCTCCTTGTATCATCTTACCTGCAACGATAAAAGCAACCAATACAAAACTTTATCTATCGAACTTTCAACATGGCATTTTCAGTTTCCAGTATAATGCTGTTTGCCCTGTTGTTTTTGTTACCACTCTCAGCCACAGGCCAGCCTTACACGAACGTTACTTTGGGTTCATCAATAACTGCAAACAAAGCAATTTCCTCGTGGTTATCGCCATCTGGAGAATTTGCTTTTAGCTTCCAGCAGATCATTCCAGGAGGTTACTTACTGGCCATCTGGTTCAACAGAATACCTGAAAGAACCATTGTATGGTCTGCCAATCGTGATAATCTCGTACAAGAGGGATCTAAAGTTCAACTATTTGCAGATGGAAGGTTTGAACTGATAGATCCTAGAGGCCAGCGCATACTGCCTGTTGCTTTGCCTCGTGCTGGAGTTGCATATGGAGCCATGCTTGACACTGGTAATTTTGTGTTAGCAAACAAAAATTCAGTAGTTTTGTGGCAGAGTTTTGATGAGCCAACTGATACATTATTACCAACACAGATACTGAAAAAGGGTGACATACTTATTTCCAGCTTCTCTCAAACAAATCATTCGAGAGGAAGATTCCTCTTTACATTACAACCTGATGGAAATCTCTTGTCTTACACCAGAAACTTCCCCATGGATGGCAGCCGTTTTGCTTATTGGTCAACACAAACCATGGGGACTGGCTTCCAGGTGATCTTCAACCAGTCTGGCTACATCTTTCTGGTAGCAGAAAATGGAAGTGTACTCAATTTTGTGTCTTCAAATGCAGCCTTGACTAGTCAGTTTTACCAGCGAGCAATACTGGAATATGATGGGGTTCTCAGGCATTATGTGTACCCCAAGTCTGCTAATTCAGCAGGTGGGAGAGCGATGGCATGGTCTACTATGGACTTCATACCTTCTAATATATGCCTGCGCATAGAGGAAAACACAGGCAGCGGTGCTTGTGGTTTTAACAGTTTCTGCTATATGAGAACTGACCAAATACCAGTGTGTGACTGTCCTACTGGTTACTCTGTCATAGATCCAAATGACAGGATGAGTGGATGCAAACCAAATTTTGCTCCACAAAATTGCGATGAAGAGGCACTTGAAACTGACCTTTTTAGTTTCTATGACATGCCCAACACAGATTGGCCTGCCTCTGATTATGCAGATTTTGAACAAGTCACAGAAGACTGGTGTCGACAGATTTGCCTCATTGATTGTTTTTGTGCTGTTGCGATTTATAGAGACGGAAACTGTTCAAAGAGGAGATATCCTCTCTCCAACGGGATGGTCGATTCTGGTATAGGAGGAAAAGCTTTAATAAAAATAAGGAATACCAACTCAACTGTGCAGTACTCTGGCTCTAAGAAGTCAAACCGATCCACTCTCATCATCATCGGATCAGTTTTCTTAGGCAGTTCCGTGTTTCTTAACTTATTTGTACTTTTGTTGTATGCTTTCTGTTTCAATCGACAAAAATCAAAGACGCTTCATCCATATAAAGATCTTCCGGGCCTGAACATAAGAAGATTCAGCTTCAAAGAGCTACAAGGAGCAACAGATGGATTCAAGGAGGAATTGGGCAGGGGCGCTTGTTCAATAGTATACAAGGGGATTCTTAAGAATGACAATATTGAAACCGTAGCTGCTGTGAAAAAGTTGAATAAGATGGCTACAGAAGGGGAGCAAGAATTTAAAGCGGAAGTAAGCTCAATTAGCAGAACTAATCACAAGAATCTAGTTCAATTGCTGGGATATTGTGATGAGGGTCAGAACTGGCTTTTGGTATATGAATACATGAGCGATGGCTCTTTAGCAAACTTTCTGTTTGAAAATTCAAGGCCCAACTGGTATAAAAGAATGCAGATTGCATTTGCAACCGCTAGAGGTATTTGCTATTTGCATGAAGAATGTAACAATCAAATCATACATTGTGACATTAAGCCTCAAAACGTGCTCTTGGACAAATCCTTCATGGCAAAAATATCGGACTTTGGATTAGCCAAGCTTTTGAAACCAGATCAATCAAGAACCACCACTGGAATAAGGGGAACCAAAGGGTATGTCGCTCCAGAATGGTTCAGAAACATGCCGATTACAGCCAAGGTTGATGTTTACAGCTTCGGAATCTTGTTGCTCGAGCTTATCTGTTGCAGAAGAAATTATGAACCCAATGTTGAGGTTGAGACCTAAATGATTCTTGCTGATTTTGCTTATGATTGTTACAAGAAAGGAACAATGCATTTGTTAGTGGTAAATGACGAGGAGGCACTAAACGACAAGCGATTTGAGAAGTTTGTGATGATAGCAATTTGGTGCATTCAGGAGGATCCAACATTAAGGCCTACCATGAAGAGAGTAATGCAACTTATGGAAGGATCTGTTGAAGTCCCCATTCCTCCAGATCCAGCCTCCTTCATCTCTTCAATTTAAAATTCTAATTTTCTTTCACTGGCACCAGATATTTCATTAATGTATAATAATTCGCATTTTCTTCATTATTAGCATCAGGTATCCATGGGACTCATTTTCATTTATGTCAGTTTTATTCAGTTTAGCATGCTAATGATTTTCTCTTCCCGCTTTTTCTTACATATTTCTACAAGTTAAATGCTACCTTAATCTTCCCTTAGATATATATTTGGCTGTTCTCAAACAAGTAAATCAAACTTACTTTTAAAGCTGATTTTCAAAGTTGTTTTATTAAGCCCCTGTTTAGTTTCGGTAAATATTAATTTTTTAGTACATTTTGATAGAAGATGATGAAATGTGCGATTGAATAGTTGATAAAATTTGTAAATTTCATAAAATGTGTGGTTAAAGTAAATATTGACTTTAACATAGATTTTTATGAACTTTTTAGTATGTAAAATCAAACAAGTGGTTAATAACAAAGTTTGATTTCAAATTACTTTTTATAAAAGTAACTTTTAAACAAAACGAAGCATGTTCACACATGTTGCACTCCTTCAATCACCTCTACATTACCCAGTCAAATCATATGGTGACAACATTTTTTTCATTATAATGTTCTCCTCACCTTACAAAGATTCCCCACTGCCGTAACAAGTGGTTAATAACAAAGTTTGATTTCAAATTACTTTTTATAAAAGTAACTTTTAAACAAAACGAAGCATGTTCACACATGTTGCACTCCTTCAATCACCTCTACATTACCCAGTCAAATCATATGGTGACAACATTTTTTTCATTATAATGTTCTCCTCACCTTACAAAGATTCCCCACTGCCGCCCCTGCGGGAGTCGGAGCCAAGCTAGCTAGCCTATTAGCTTTTCAGTATCTGAAAGTTCTCGTGGAGAGAATAAGATGCTGCAGATGTTTTTATATACTATTATGAAACACATTTTATCTCTTTTATGACATGGGGCAACTTGACATGCCGTGGCATAGAAGCTTATGAGTGGTACTCGAGAAAAAAAGATGAACAAGCTGAAGAATGGATATGTGAATTAACCGTTAAGGTCCCATTGGCAAATTTATAAATGATTTACAGAGATAAATAATGGATTCTATGAAATGTTTGGGTAATTCATTTTTCTAAATTTATAAAGGGAACAATACACATTTAAGGTGGCTAGACGATACAATTTCAAAATTGATAAACGTGTTTTAAAACCTAAAAAATCAGGTCATAATTAAAAAATTTTAAAAATTGATAATAAAAATTATTTTATTGATGAAATATATAAAAGTCACAATACTATACAATTTATGGTTACGATTACTTTTTAGTCACAATCAGAAAATGTCAAAGTTACAACTCATATATGTTATAAGCCACAACTTAATTGGTTACGCATTACTTCCCAATCACAAATCATAAATTTTATAGTTTACAATTTATTTATCGCTCACACATTATCAAATTAATAGGTCACAAATTATTTTTTCAATTACAAATTATCAAATCAATATGTCAAATTGTTTCTCGATCACAAATCACAAATTTATAGATCACGACTTATTTCATGCTCATATATTATCAAATTAATTGATCACAACTTAACAAATTATAAGTTACGATTACAAATTTAGTTATAATTTCACATTTTTAGGTCACAAAATTAACCATTCTATTGGTCACAATCATCCTAATAATTGGTTACAAATACTATTCATCTCACACCTACCCCATTTCACTATCACCACAGCTAGCAACTCACCAGTCACCACAGGCATCACCACCACCACCGTCGCTAGCACCACACACCTTATTGTCACTGTCAATTGTAAACACCATCGGTGCATTGCACAGCATGCCACCACCACACCATCGTCGCTCTGCTATGCTATTGTCAATGCCTACTTCGTGTAGTGATGATCACTACCCAAACCTTCACAAAAAAGCACAAAAAACCATTGGCCACCACAATCACCATAACTATGACTCCATGCATCTATTTTGGAGAAATCAAACTCAAAAAAGAAAGAACATATCTGGTGTTGGTACCAAGGCAAGCGTGGTGTTAAATTTGAGTGTTATTACAGAGTCAAATCTAAACGCCACTACAATGGTGCTTCTTTGTGAGCGCCGCTACACGGTGCTCACAGCAGCTGCTACATTGATGCTATAATAGTGAGCACTTGCCACTGTGAGTGCCAATGCTCATGATGAAGAGAGAATTAGAGGTAGAGAGAGAATAGAATTGAGAGGATTGAGAGAGAAGGAAAAAAAAATGAATCAGGGTTTGGAGTGAAGTGGGGTGGGTAGGTATTTAGATTAATTTAATATTATAATATTATTATTTAATATTAAAAAATTGAATTATCACATGATTTTTGTAAAAATAAAAAATAAAAATAAACCCTTCTAAATCTTATCTTTGAAATTGGAAGTCAAACATATGGGTAGGTGTAATTTCCACATTTATAAATTGTTTATAACAAAGAATTACCGTAGATCTCATGAAATGTGTGAATAATTATAAATAGTAATTAAGAATGTATGATTCAAATTAATGCTTGACTTTAAGTGATTTATAAATCCTTCGAAAATTTCTTTTCAAATGGATGCTAAATTAGAGAGGAAAAACAAACTAGTATTTATTCAGAAATGCATGTATATATTAGGCCCTTGATTTGTCCCTATTATATAAAAACTCATTTTTCCATAAATTATTTTTAGTTATACATTTTATAATACTTATAATTTTTCAACTACATATTTTATGAAAATTTACTGAAAATTTTATATTTATCAAAACCCAAACATGGGCTAATCTATATGTAAGCATATTTCACATCATCTAAATTAATGTTACCAATGTCGACCACTGATATTTCATGTCTCCATAAAGAGAGATTGGGACACAATGATGAAAACAACATGCTAACTTATATAAAATGCAATGGGCAACTTACAAAAATGCCCCTAAAATTAGGGATATTTTGAAAAATCATATGAAAAGTATTTTGAAAGTAAAAAATACCTTGTAAAAATTAAGTATCACTTTATAAAAAGTGATACAATGTCACTTTTTAAAGTTAACTGTCTCTTTTTTAAAATAAAAATGACATACAGTATCACTTTTATTAAAAAGAATGTTTGTCACTCAAAAAAATAATAGAAATTTCAAGAAAGTGAGAGAAAAAAATGAAAAACATTGAAAAAGTAACAAAAATTCAAAAAAGTGACAAACACTAACGAAATTGACAGAAATTCAAAAAAAGTAACAAATAATAAAAAATGTGACACAAATTTAAAAAGTAACATAAAACCAATTAAAATATTAGAATTAGTTCAATAAAGTAATAAAAAAAAAGTGACATAACTAATATCCTTCATCTTCCTTCGATAACCATCAAGTATCTTCAAAGTCAATTCATCAACACAACACAAATTAAAACACCAAACATCTTTAAGTCAATTCACTGCCATTGTCATCTACCAACTCAACCAACCCATTAATCACATAAAAAGTTTTTCGGAAATTAAAAAAAAAATCTATATAAAGTTAAAAGTTGCTTTTTATTAAAAATGATATACAATGTCACTTTTAAAATTGATGTTCGTCACTCAAAAAAATGACAAAAATTTCAAAAAAGTGACGTAAATTTAAAAAATTGACAATATCAATCAAAATCATAAAATATATCATTTTATGCAAATTCAACTACTTATCCACAACCTCCACCGCTCCACCTCCACCATGGCCAACCATGTGAGCAAAAGGGCACTCAAAACATTATATCAAATACCAACCTTTGATTTGAATTTAGACGTCATAAAAGGATATACAAGTACCAAATCATGACATTTGTATTCAGCAACAGTTTTATTTTGCCAAGAAATCATTTGTTATAAAAATAAACAAATTATGAGAGGGAATCAACTAGATTTGAACCAGAGGACTCATCGCACCTATTGTCCAACAAAGGGTCTACTCTTCATCTCATTGGCAATTAATTGACGCTTTAGTAGGACGGAAAAGAGAACCCTAAGGTATTCTATCGAGATTTTATGCAAAAACTCATGGATCATTAGCATGACACGATGAAGGGTAGGGTTGTGGGAACATTTTTATGAGAGGAATGAAACAAAGAATCTACTATTACTACAACAATATATCTTTCCATCTTTTCAAATTTACCAGCCAAGAAAAAAATAATTAAAAACTTTATCCCGAAGTTGTGATCTCATCTCAAGTTTTTGGTTTGGAACACAAGTTCTTGCTCAGTGCCTAAAGTTTGTATATGCTCTTTTTAACTCTTACCTCATCTTAGCATACTACAATAGATGAAATGCCAATTTCTTCAATTCAGATGCATAATTGGATTTCACAGTTGGATTTCACAGTTTTCACTCTGGAGTTGCTAAATGCCAACTTGTCAAGATCATTCATTGATACTCATTGTTCAATAATAATAAAAAAAACACGAATAACATATCTTTTCAAAAGATTTCACAATTCATCTAACATTCTTCGAAAGTCACAAGTCAGATGTTAATCTTTACAGATCACACGAATTAGACAAAATTATTTGACATAGCCACAGAAATCAAATGAAACAAATAAGATTAAACATGAGTATAATCTAAACTCATTATGTCATTACATGGTTTTTTCTCCCCATCTTCAGGTAATACGAAAATCGTAATTCTCTTTTTTTTGGCACTACAAAAATTTAGTAATATTAAACCCTCCAATCAAAAAAATATATATAATAATAATAATAATAATCTATAATCAATTCTAAGCACAAAATCACATGAAATCAAGAAGCACAACTAATCTCGAATTCTCATTTTCAATCTTCCTACTCTCTTATCATCAATAAATCAGCACAAACTGGCCCAAAATCAAGAAAACAAATATAGACAATACGAGATAGCAAAGGAGAGAAGAAGAATGCATTAGAGAAGCAAAATAGAGATCTTGCGGTGGGAGTTTCGATCGGATTTCTAGGTCCGATTTGGAGATTTCTAAGGTTTTGGGTTTGGGGTGTTTGAGTGTATTACTTATGGAGAAAGAAATT